GTCTTAAAGTATCTGATATTTTTTATACTTATCAAAAGTAAATTTCTGGCACAAAATATACTTAAGTTTTAAAAGTAAAAGTACTGGGTAAAAATGAGCAGTTAGATTTTCCAAAATGACATTTATTGGGAGGTGACTTCTCAAAAAATATTTTTTCTAACAGCGTGCAGCTGTGATGGGTTGTGTACAAAGCTAATAGGGTATCAGAATGGTAAATATTTATAATTCTCATCCAACCACAATTAAATTCACTCTATCCAGGAGACACAATTTATCAGGATATTATTTTTTTAAGTAATGACAACTCGGAATAAAATAGGAACGACTTTCTACTTCTTACCTTTTTAGAAAATGTATTGAGTAGAAAGTACAGATAAMTGTGTAAAAACGTATTGAGTAAAAGTAAAACGTACGCTGAAAAATAATTAGTCAAGTAAACAGATAACCAAAATTTCTACTTAAGTACAGTAACAAAGTATTTGTACTTAGTTACTTTACAACTCTGGATTCAACACCTGACCAAAGACGTCGAGGAATGAAACCAACGAGAACCGGACCGTCCACCATCAGTGCGTCACAATGACATAAAAASTCTAAAAAAAGAAACCTCCAACGTGTCGACGTGGTGAGAAACGCTCTGCCTCGAGGTTTCTGCGACACGCATCAAATGCTTCACCAGAAAAGGAAACTCAGCGCTGGCCGGTCTGATCTGGAGTCACGATCTAACCTCAGCCGGAGCCTCAGATGCAGGCTGTTCACACACGCAAGACATAAACAGTGTTTCCCCCTCGAGCAATGAGTTTCAAAGTTAGACACAAACAGTAAACATCAGGTCACATCTGCTGTGGGATCAGTGAAATCTCTGAGACGATTCCAGCATCAACTCACTCGTGTACTGGGAATACCTCGAAAGATGCTTAACGTAGGTTTGGACCAGAAAATGGCATACTTGTATTTTATTTTCTGTCTCTGGTTATTTAAATTTAAAATAACGTCAGAATGTTTTTAACTGTCATTTTTTTATTTTATTTGAGCAGGTAAAAGTGATTAAACCAGATAAACAAAATCCATTCTTCAGGCTCTACCAATGCTCAGTGTTCACCGTCCAAACAAACAAACAAGCGAGCAGGGACACAAACAACTTCTCATATCTAATCTGACCCCACGTCCTTCTAGGTGTGTCGAAACACCTGAGGAGTCCAGCCAATCAGCTTAGAGGATCTGTGTAAACAAACCTTACATCATCGGGACAAAGCCAAGGGCTCACCGCAGCTCAACAGCACTGACAGCCTGATTAAGCTGCTATTTCAAACTGACCACAAGTTAGTGTGTGTGTGTGTGTGCGTGCGTGCGTGCGTGCGTGTGTGTACCCTCCCATCCTTCAATACATCACAGAAAAGAGAGCCAATTAGGGACTTCCAGGAATATCTGAGTAGAATTAAGCAGTTTTACGAGTTGAATTTGAACGTTTGGGTGCATTTTTAAACACCTTTAAATGATTTAAAAAAGCGTTTTCTTCAAGGTGGCTGTCAGAGTGGGGAAAAAAAACATTTCAATAAGTAGACAGGAATATTTCTATCTATATTAGGGTTGGGTAATATTGGCAAAAGAATTAATCATGATTAATTGTGGTAATTAGCCGATAARGARTAARGTGACGATTAATCCCCTGGAGTCCCTGGACACCTGTYCGCCCTACTCATGACCAATTTKAATCACTCTAGTTAGAAAGATTTGRTCTCTGTWAAAATCTGGTCCAAATTGTGTCAAAAGTACAGACTTCAGGCTAAACAGTAATTTTTAAATTGTGTTGATTGACCACGTAAAACTGMAGTTATGATAAATACAAAAATMAWTTTTAAACGTTCGTCATWTTTCGGAGTCAAGCTACAAAYATCATGTCTCACCAACAAGAAAAGGAACGAGCACAACTTGCGTATTTTCACAGTAATTAACCAAAACCCCACCAGTTTTGTCGAATTCCTTGCTATATTATTAAATATACGCAAATATTTAAACATAAATGCTGTTAAAATGTACCGTTTTGTTTGGAAAGCTGATGGAAACATGCAGCACACAATATATGAATACACATAATGAGAATTTTATTTTGAAATCAAAAGTTTCACAAACACAACGTTGATGCAGTTTCAACTGTGTTTACTCCGTCGACCACAGAATGAATTAGTTTAGGCACTAATTCATTCTGTTAATCTATATTAAATCATCTGTATTTATTCTTTAATGTTCTGCGAAGGACGACTCAATCAAGTCGTACTGGGGTGAAGAGTTGCAGGTGTCGGGTCGCACCAGAACATCCGACAAAACCAGAGAGGTCTGACGTCAGTTCTCAAGTTTGACAAACATCAGAGGGGAAAACTAGAGATGGACTTACTGAGACAAAAATTAAACGACAAAAAGACATTTGGACAAAGTGAAGTCATCTCATCTCTCTTTGATCTGTTATTGTCGAAGCAAACAAGAAATGAGCTTTACAAACCCGATTAAACGTCTCAATAAATGTTTTAAATGTTGCAACAGGAAAAACAACAGGTTCTACTCTGCTTCATTAAGCATTTTTTTTTTACTTTTTAAAGCCATATTTGCTGTCAACAAACTAATCTGCAAACATTCTGGATAAATTAATTTCACACAAACATCACCTTCAACAATGTCACCAAAATATCCTGGCTTGGCAGTTTGTTTTGTTGCTGTTGTGTTTAACACAGCATGACACGGCCAAATAATGGTAAACAAGGGCTGGAGGTTGCTGCTGACACACGCTAATATCCTGGGAATCACAAAGGAACATGAAGAGAATGATATTAAAGAAAACAGCTCTGGAGGAAGTGAAGAAGCTGCTTTCTCTCCAACAKGACCATGCAGCTGTGTGAGAAGCAAACCCCCAAACCACATCTGTGGGTCTCAGAAAACCCAAACTACGACTGGGAAAACAAAYCAAACASAAACACAAACGCAGCTGCTGCCAGGTCCCCCGACACGAGCCGACAGCTGCCGAGCGACACAAGGAGAACCAGGAGAACCGTTTGTCCCGATAACCTCCMCTCTGAGTGTCCAAGCTCGCACCTTTCACCATCTGAGCCCCAAAAACCCGGGACTCACAGTCCGACGAGACAGAGTTTTACTGATGTTCTTCTGATAAAATCCTGATTGATGCCAATTCAATGAATAAAAAACACAATAAAAGRTTGTTTTATCAGCTGATGAACGTGGACACGGAGTGTAAGAAACACAAAAACACGATTTAAAGATGAATAAATTTCTCCWGCTGGTGGTTTAAACAACACGACTGTGACTAATTACTGTGTCCTTTTTCACATTATTAAAATGCACATAGCCTTATTTCTGTCCCAGCGTCATGATTTAAATCAATTTTCTCTGTGAAGGTTTTTATTCATCAAGTCTTTTGCATCCTGGATGTTAATCAGAGTTTTAAACTGAGATCTTATGTGAAGTTGTAGCGGTGTGAGTTATTTAACTGTAAAAGTGACACGTTTGTGTTGACTCCAAATAATAACGAGTTAGAAACGATGATTTCCTGAAGGTTTTTTTTTTTTTCAAATCGAGTGTTTCATGAGGTATTCTGGTCACAGACATGGGGAAAACAACATATTATCTGTGGTGGGCAACAACAACCAGCACTGACACAACGCCTGAGGCATTCACTCTGAGTTAACACAGAGAAGTGTTTAGAGTGGTGTTTTAAGAGTTTAAATCAAGAGCAGCATTTTAGCATGGCATCAGCTGTAAATCTTTGTGTGTATACTAAATACTAATGCACCATAAAACACATTTCACGTGACATTTCGGGAAAACTCCTCGGTTTGCTTGTACCGTTATAAACTTTGAGGAGGAGGTTGGCGACGAAGAGCGAAGGAGGCAGCAGACGGGACAGATTCAGGCAGCACATGTTGGAGTCTGAGTCATTGTTTACAAAAGTCTCTGGTTTTGGATTCACGCTTCACAGTTAAAACAAAATTCACTTTGAATTGGAGTGATAGTCTTCTTGGTGGGACAATTAATTTATAAAAAATAAATAATCCCACCATATTAGTTTACATACAGACTGCACTTACCCTAACGTAGCTCACTTATGTGATTCAAGCTTCCACGTTTTGTTTGTTTGTTTGTTTTTGGCGTATTGAGCCCAGTGCTTCGTTTACATTAAGCGTGGACCCACATTTCAGAATAACTACTGGAGTAAACTCTTTAACTGCAGAATTTGATCTAATTCGGGATATCTCCATGATTCATTTTTGCAATCATTACCTTTACCTGTTGATGTTTTGACACATTCAGAATCATCTGAAAACTAATAACTTCCTTGTTCCTGAAAACAAGGTTTGATTCTTTGCATCATGAAAAAGCTGGACTTGGAAAACAATAAAATAGGTGCAAAATTGATTATACAGATGTTGGGAATTATCACTTTTTAACCACTGCATTGTAAATATTCAAATAAAACAGTGACTTGAACACATGCCTCTGACTTCCACATTAATAAAACTCAATGGAGCAAATAAGCTGTTGAGATTTTGTCCTTTTTGATGTCCTGATTCATCTCAGTAATCCAGGTAAAAAAAAAAATCAAAAAGGAAAAATCAGTAGGTCCTCTGGATGGTTCTTCTTTAGTGAAACGTTTCGTCTCTCCTCCAAGA